GTGTGTGTGTGTGAGTGTGTGTGTGTGTGTGAGTGAGTGTGAGTGTGTGTGTGAGTGTGTGTGAGTGAGTGTGAGTGTGTGTGTGTGTGTGTGTGCGCGCACCCACTGCCCCGTGTGAGAACGAACTGGTACAAGGCAATGCAGTGTAAGGGGTTAAAAATACGGACTCAGGTCAGACTGGCTGAGTCAAATCCCCCAACACCACCTCCCTGAGCCTTGCTTCCCTCACCGAAATGAAGATGACTTTGGTACCAACTGCATGGGCTTGTTGGAGAATTAAGAGAGATACCAAATGCAAAACACTGGGTCCTGCACAAGCGAAACCCAGCCGTGCACCTTTCCTTCCCTGGGCGAGAGCAGCTCCTGCTGGCCTGTTGGGGGAAAACAGAACATTTGGGGAGCTATCATTCACATCCTCCACGTGGTGTGTTCTCCTGTGTTGCCAGCCTGGGGAAGGTGGGTGCATCCCGGGCATTATCCCCTCTCCTAGGGGCAGCTTCCTGGGCTGTGACCCGTGCAGAGTCCCGTAGGGTCCGTGCTTGGAAGGGCACTACACCTAGTTGAATGCTGCGTCCCAGACATCTTGAAATTCTTAATAACATAGAGTTCTGCTTTTTATTTTGCACTGAGACCCATAAATTCTGTAGCTGGCCCTGCCCTCCCCTGGATGCTACGTCCCCTCCTGTCATCCAGGGTTCCGCTGGGATAGTCCCACCTGGACCAGCTATCTGAACAATCCCCGTCAGGGCCGCTAGGTGTGGGTCCCTGCACAATGACACCCTGCTGGGGGCATGGTAGGAGCTGAGCTGTAACCCAGGCACAGCTCAACATGACCTGCCCTGACCCAGAGGCGGTGCCTTCTGTCTGTCACTCATCTTCCCAGAGGGCTGCCTTTTTCTAATTCTGCATAAGATGCTTTGTTTGCTGGCGGTAGCCCTGATCATGTCCGCTGGCAAATGCCCTTAGCAATTTCATAATTAGCAATACAGTTTTGTCCTTTGACCTATATATAGTAAGTACCATTTATTACTATGTAGGTAAAGTCTCGTTTCCTTTCCTGCTACCTTTCAGGACGCGCCGGAGTGAGGATGGGGCCCCATTACCCCTCCATGGTTGCTTCTCAGTCCAGAGACAGGCTCTGAAATGCCCTTTGGGGAAAAAGCCATGATTAAAGCTTGCCAAGGGTGTTCTTTCCTTCTGCCTCCATCCAGGGGAACAGTTACGTCTCTTCCTCCAGTCAAGACTTAGCACCTCCTAATTTAGTAGTCTCCCAAGAATGTTTTTGATGCCAGTCTTTGTGTGCAAAATTTTGGAGGCCTTCTATTTCTGAGAACATTTTTTTTTTTTTACAACCTCACTTTGAATAACAGCTTGAAAGGACATAGTAGTCTAGGTTCGATTTTTTTTTCTTCTATGCCTTGGAAATATTCCCCTGTCTTCTTCTCGGGTCCAGTACTGCTGATGAGAACTCTGATATTAATCTGACTCCTGATGGGTGGTTGGTTCCCCGCTTATCCCTCGGAAGGCTTTAGAACTCCCTCCGTCTTGGATGTTCTTAACTTTCCCTACAACGCATCTAGCTGTCAGCTTTTCTTTATCTGTCCTGTGTGCGTTCTTAGATCCTTTCACCTCTCTTCAAATATAGGAATTTTATATTCATTAGTTCTTTGAATAGTCCCCTGCATTTTTCCTCTCCCTTCCTGGGACTTACATTGCCCGGATGTTGGCACATCTATCCTCCAGGTCTCTTAGATTTTCTTATCTGTTTTCTCTTTATACTCAGATTTCTCAATGTAAGCTGCTAACTCCTGTGTCATTTTTCAGCTGCCTACCACATTTCAATGATTATATTCTTCGTAACTAACACGTACATTTAGGGGTTTTTTAAATGATTTTTTTTCTTGGCTTATAAGGCTCATGTCTTTCCTTACCTACACACACCTATGTATGTGTAACATGCATATTTAAATTTCGTGTCCATCCACCCTGACAATTCTGTTTCAGGTGCATATGTTGTCAACTCTATTTCCTTTCCTCTAGTGGGTGTGTTGTGCGCCCGAAGGTGAATCTGCAGGGAGGGGAGGGGATGAACCCTAGATTTGCTGATTGCCGTTTGCCGTCGCTCAGGGCAGGTGCTCTGATGGGGATTTCCTCCTGAAACATCTGGGAAGCAGCTGCACCGGCAGGAAGCCGCACCCTGAGGTTGAAATCAGCCATCCCTGGGATTTGGGGGAAGAAGCAAGGGGGAGAGGAAACAATGAATGCCTGAGGGTAGCTGAGCAGCCTGCACTGTCTTTAACAACCCCTCTCCCCGAGGGGTTTCTGGGCAGCCCTCACATGACCTCCAGAACCTGAGCATCTCAGCTCTGGCTTGGGGGGGGGGAGGGCAGAGAGAACATAAAAGCCTCGCTCCCAGTGCGTCCGGCCCTCGCTCCCGCTCCGGGCACAGCGCCCCTTCTCTCCGACAACCACTCCCAGCAGCGAGACCAGCTTCCCGCTCGCTTGCAGGGCCCTGCATAGCTTCTTTTGTTAGTTCCTCGGATCGAAGCTTCTCTCTCAGGTCTGTAGTTTTGCCAGACTGGTTTTGGCAAAGGGAGCCAGCAAGCCTATGCCGGTTTGCCCTCTTAACAGAAGAAAAAGGGAAATTACACGTAGAGGGCTGGTATCTTGTGTATAATTTAAAAGCACATGCGCATAGACACGAAATATTTTTCAAGGAACCGTATATCTAAATAAACAGACAAAGACTAAATTGGTAGCGGGGATGGCGGGTACAGGGAAAAGACGAGTGAAGTAAAACACAAATCAGTCTTGCACAAGTGAATGATCACCGAGTGTTGTGGGGAGAGCCTGCGGTGCAATTGGCTAAGCAATCGGTCAGTTACACACGCATTTATCCTTTGACTCGGCAACTTCTGGAACTTCTCCCTCTAAATGTGTGTGTGAGCATGTGCACACACACACACACACACACACACAATGATGCATGAGCCGTGTGTAATTGACAGAGTGAGAATTCAAACCCAGAGTGGTTTTGATCGAAGTCCGGATTTTCTCCTGCGCCTGACCTTAGGTAGCTTGGCTGGGATGTCAGCTGGGGGAATGTCACCTGCCACGGCAGCCGGCTGAGCCCCTGGGTCCTAGCCTACACCATCTGGCCAGAACGAAATGCCCATTCCTCAGTTATTGCTATCTCTGGGCTACAGTCACAGAGGACACATTCCAAATCTCATTTCTATTTTGCTTTTGTTCTCAGTTTTAGGATGGAGTTAAACCGGCACATCCCGCCTGGTAGCAGGTGGTGGAAAGGTGACCACCTGAGACTAAAAGTCTTCCGTATCGAATGTAATGAGACATTAAGTAATTAACAAAATGAGTGACCGGTGGACTGGGAGCAACTCAATGGAAACCACACCCGGTTCACTGTTAGCTTGGGGCCTGGCTTGGTTGCAGCAAATGCTAAGGGTCCAGGACACAGGTGAGGCTGCAAGAACCCAGGGAGGCACGTAAATGGTACCTAACACCGTGTACCCCTTGAGCCACCCACATCCCCC